CACGGCGGTAATCCGGCAAGGAGGTTCGCCGACTCCCCAGAGATCGTGCGGTATCCGCGGATCATTCGGATCGCCATGACCCTCTGTGCCATGAGCAGCGTCCGAGCAGGACGCCGCAACAGGTTTGGCGCCCAAACAGGGGCGCCGTAGAGGGCCATGGACCGCACGACCCCGTAGCTATAGAGGTTACAAGCTTACGAAAATCGTGTCACAAAATCACTAGGTCTACTGAACGAACCGAATACACTTTTACAATAGATAGATAAAGACTCTTATTTAAAATAATTCAAGTGATCATACCAATACAGTTTCGCTTGCCAAAACTGAACGGAGCGTATACGTTGGGGTTCGTAGGTAATGTATCGGGATTCAGCCATCGCTCCGGTTTGAATTCCTTCGCGTCTGGTCCCCAGGAGGGGTGACGGTGAAGGCCATATATTGATACGACACATATACTTCCCGCTCTCAATGTATATTTCGCTGGAATTACATATTATACTTTAGGTCACTTATATTGAGTCCAAATAAGAAATTGTAGAGTAAATAAATAACAATACGTACGCAGTACAATATCGGCATCAATTTTTCTCGCCACCAATGGAGCTGCGACATATACCCTCAATACCTCCTTTAGCACAGCTTCTAAGTAAACAAGTTTAGACATATCGTATTTCGTCAACTCATCATTATTTTGAAAAACGTCTTGAAGCCTATAAAAGGATGAGAACAGATAAACAATCGGCGTCGCTCATGGACACCCGAAATACCGGTGCGTTAAACCAGCCTTTCGAGGATTAGGAATTTGAGGGTTGTTGGCGATTCGGAGATTGGAGAGATAGAGAAGTAGTAATGGGGCCTTTGGTAACCTTTGGTATTCTCAAGTTTGGGAGAGCCATGCCAAAGCATGGCTCTCCCAAACTTGAGAATGAAATGGACATGGAACCTACTCTATCGATACAATGCTTACAGCTCATTTAAGAGATTTTGTGAATATCTTTATGTCATAAGGACAAGAACAACAAATGGCAAGATTTGTAAAAAAGAACTTCATTAGAAGCTCAAACTTGTAAGACAAAACTTACTCTTCATAAACTCGTTCCTGCACATTAGGATATGATCCAAGCACCATCAGCGCATTATGCAATACTGCTGAAGTTGTGTCATAAGAAGCTGCTACGAAAGTATTCAGATGCGCCCTAATATCATCATCGGAGAGGACGTTTTGTTCATTAGACAAATCCAGCATCAAATCTAGCGTAGGTTTGAATTTACCTGAAACTAAAGCTTCATTATTTATTATGCAAAAGTTACCTATTGGTCTCTGTAATGTGCTTCAAAACATCTGAATATCTGTGCAACGAAGTATAATAGTTAGAGAGATGACGACCAAAATTTTTGTCTCATAGCAATACGGCTAAAACTGCCTCAAATCGATAGATACAATTATCCTGAACTCGAAAATACCAATATCAGACATTTTCCGCGTAGCGTTTGACCTGACCACAAAACTACCAGCCAAAAAAATGTCTCATTATTAGTAAATTTTGGTTATTTGATGCGAACAAAACAATTTTCAGGCGGAAGTGTGAACGCATTAAATATTGAGACCGTTTTGAAAATGTTAACAAATTTTACCGATCGGTATCATGGCAATATGTCTGAAAATAGTTGGACATGATAAAATAAGTTGTCCACATGTGCAAAAAATGTATATCAGACAAAATAAGTGTAGAACTTTCTCTATCAGACCACTTTTCGATACTCAGATATTTTTGACACAGCAGAAATGGCCTCCCACGCAGTTGCTACACTTTCGACCGTTACTACACACCTAGTCGGGTTCAGAATCATACAATCTAACGATTTAATAGGGTTTTTGTCGTACTGCTATGAGACATGGTTTTGGTCGTCATCTCTCGTACTATAATGTAATGTAGGCTGTCAAGAGAAAATTAAAAATGTTGCGAAAGCAAAACTTGGTATGGATTAAATAGATGTCGCTGAGCACAAAGTACGCGTAGAACTTATTAACGTGCGTTGGATATAGTAATTTAACTCAGTGACAATTCTTATAACAGATTAATAATGCGTTCTCACCATAATCTTACCTGTTGTTGAACTATCGTAATTATCAATATTTGTAGGTTTTAATTCAGATTTGCGTTTTTGAATTATCTGTAATTTATAATTTTATAAATGACTGTGAGACAAAATATGAAAAAAAAAAACCATAAGCCATGTAGGAAAACATATGCATCCTTACAGGATTTATCATTTTCTTAACGACTTTGACTAGTTCCAATTCTCTTCTTCCCATTGACGTCCAGTAGTAAATACATGAAAGATATACATCCACATTTAAAGCACGGTAGCATACAATTCTGAAGATTTCTTCTAGCGCTTTCGCGTAACCGTTGTCGATTATATCTTGATCTTTAGATTCTAATCCCAGTGAAGTTCCTACAAATACAAATTGAACTTTAAACACCATGCACTGTCTTATCGTCACATGTTTGATTATAATTTGGATTATTTTTTTTTAGAAAATTTTAGTCAGGCATGTCAACACATGCCAGCAATATGGAATAAACTACCAACCGCATAATACATGTGCGAAGTTATACTTTTTGGTTGAATTTTCTAATATGTTTACAGAATACGTTGCAGATAGTAGACTGCCGCGCCGTGTTTGTTCTGTTTACACGATACAATATTAGAGGAGTTACAAATACATTGTCTGCATTTTTTAAAGGTATTTAAGGATTAATGGTTGAAACTTACGACAAACTGATCTTAGTATATATTGAGTTATAAATTCCTTGATGTCAACTGGTCCCTTTCCAGCCACAGTAGTCATTTGTGAGACCATATTTCGAGCCTGTACATTCATTTCAGGTAGAAACGTGTTTAATACTTGTTGGTTGAACGATGGACTTAGTAGTTTATTGTGTATCCTCCACGTGGGTCCTGAAATAAGACAATTTATACGAATGTTTAATGAATACAAATCGTCAGTTTGATCAACACTAGCGATGTGACCCGGCTGTATACCGGTAGACAAAATAGCCTAATTTCATTAGTGATAATGTAGCCTTTAAATAGTGTGGAAATTTTTATAATCGATTTAGTACTTTTTGTGCAATTTAGTTACAAACATCTATACAATTTTTTCTTCCTTAATATATGAGTATTCATAGATAATTAAATATCTTTGCCATTGCATACCATTCAATGTTACCAATCCATTTCCTATGCTATCAATTAAGAAATTGTAAAAAAATGGCTTGTCCAAACATGTGTTTGCTATAGTTCCAACGACTTCTGGATCACTCACAACTGCAATAAAATAAAAAAACATCATTGAAAATATAATTTAGAAGTTTAGTGTACTGGTTTTGGTGGATCTACCTCGTCAAAATATTGCCATTTTAAGAGATTTCGTGACTTCATACGAAATTCATCATGAGAAATTTCTCTCGATCACGATTGAGTGGAAAATGCTCAAAGCCAACCATTTCATAGTCGTGCTATTACTTACCATAAGCTATGATAGGTCCTGCCCAAAGTTGGACTATCCCTCCGTTTTCCAAGCCGTAATCAGCAACATTTTGCATTAAACCCCATAAATCTGAAAATAAAAATCTTTAAAGTCAGCTTTGTTGACATGACATGTAGGTATATATCTACATTTACACTAATAGTATAAAGTTGTTTGTTTGAATAGTTTTTTTTTAAGGGGGGAAAATCATCGAATTATTGCTCCCGCCTCAGTGTCAGACTCTTACTGACTAAAAACTACCCCGTTCCTTCTTCTGCACGTCGAGCCGGACCACCGGTTACCCGTTAGGTTCTCCGCGACTCCGAATCGGCATCGGCCCCGTTGGGCCCCGTCTGTGGTGGTCTGACGACTTTTTGAGGCGCGCGCGGAACGCGACGCTCGGGTCTGTTTCTGGTCGGACGGTGAACTACCCATGCTCGCTGTCCGCAGGCCCGCGCTTACGGTGGCCGGAGATCATCCCGCGATCCCCGACGCTCGGTGTGTCCTTCGTGATGGCTGGGTTGCGAGGAGGCAGCGCTTCGCTGCCTCACGCGTCCCACCTCCTACTTAGCTAGCATAACTGCTTCGCAAAAGGAGGAGATGGCATCCCAGTCCCCCTCGCTCCGTATCATGACCTGCACTAGGCCCGGACGCGAGAGGTCGCCATCACCGATCACTTCTCTGAGGGCACGGCGGTGCTCAGCCCATGCAGGGCATTGCGCCACTGTGTGTTCCACCATGTCCTCAGGACGGTCCTCGCAGTGATGACACCCGGATGTTTTTTCCCGCCCCATTAGACACAGGTACCTTCCGAAACTTCCATGTCCGGTGAGGACCTGAGTCAGGCGGTAGATGAGGATAGTGTAGCGTCTCTCAAGCCACTCCTCAAAGACGGGACTTACCGCTGCAATGGCAGCGAGCCCAGGCCTCGGTTGTGACAGTCGTTGCTGCCATTCCGCCATGAGATCGCGCCGGAGCTCTTCCCGCCATGCACTGGCGCGGAAACGGAGTTTCGCCCTGGCGCGCGGCGACGCGCGACGTGCCTCCGCGCGCATTATTTAACTCGTCGAGCACCGTCATTATAGACACAATTAAAGAACAAAAGGTTGCAATTGGTTGACAGTTTAATATCGATATTAAACTGTCAAACACCAAGCGGTCACCGGTGACCGCAACCTATTGTTCTTTAATTGTGTCAATATTGACGGTGCTCGACGAGTTAAACAATATTTCACAATAAATATAACTAAATTGATTCTGATGACATTTGTTGCACAGTATTGGAATTGACCTTGGAGAAGAATAATTAAAAAATCCAAAATTTGCCAGAAATCATTATTATACGCGGACAAGTCGCGGGGAACTGCTAGAAATTTCTATAACATTGATTTTTCCGATACTAGTGGTATCGGAAAATTCCTCTATATCGCGGAAATTGCTTAGAATTTTTTTTAAACGTTGTTTTTGTAATTCTTAAACTTCTATTTTATATGCATAGGTTGACAAAGAATTAAATATTCTAGAAAGAAAGAAAGAAAAATGTATTTGTCAGAATGTAGTTACAATCGGTGTTTTATCTTAATTAATGTCTTATACATTCTACCGAATCGGTGTACGAATATTACACTTATTTTCTATTTAGGTATATATTTATGTACTATTCCACAACAATGTTTTTGCAATCTTTGTCATCGAGAAAATGTTTAGTTGAGTAGTAGCACTTATTTAACAGAAACTTAAATAATTTTGTTCTGAATGACATTAAGATAAGATTTTTTAGGTCATTTGGAAGTCTATTATACATTTTTATAGCCATACAGTATGAATTTTGATTGTATAGTGTAGTGCGTTGACTCGGTCAGATAATTTGTTAGGAAATCTACTATTTCTATTAGTTACACTATTTTTCTTAGTAAAGATATTAGGGTTTTTGTATACAAAAATGGAAACCTCGAGTATATAAGGTGTAACAAAAATAGTGCACAATATTTTAGTAGGTCAATTAGTACGTAATAAACATCATTTTTTTATGAAAATATTTTATAAAAACTTATCAATAATTTTTAATAATTAAATTATTAATTTATTATTTTCATTGCTTTTTATGCCATCCTGCAATATGTACCTATTCCTATGTACCTATTTGAAAAGCTCGGTCGTTGACCCGTAAGATAAACGTCCGCGCGCATCCATACGGCTGGCGTTATACGTAAAAACACAACAACAATTTTGCAAATGTGATGCTAGATTTAATTAAACATGTTGTAATTTACATTTATTTTTAGGTAAACATAATCCTTAACATGTACTATATCACCTGTTAAAATGTTGTGCACTATTTTTGTTAGACCTTATATAGAGACAGGGTAGTGGCAGGATGCGATGTTTTTTAAATAAGGGTATGCAGCTGTCTAGGTAGTCAGCACCACATATTGCACGCACACACCTTTTCTGGGCTCTGAATGCTCGGATCAAATCCACAGAGTTCCCCCATATGACTATTCCGTAGCGTAAAGCCGAGGAAGCATAGCCGTGGTACGCACACAATGTTGCATTAAGAGTAGCTACTTGTCTAAGTCTGCTTAGATCATATACATAACTATCTAGTTTAGAGCAAACCTTGTCTATATGAGGTTTCCAATTGCAATTTTTATCAATAATTAGGCCAAGAAATTTTGTTGATTCTACTTTTTCTATGGTTTTACCTTTTTGAGTTACATTAAGAGAGATTTGGGCGCCGTTATGGGTCTGAAATTGAATTAAATTTGTTTTACTTACATTTATATTTAGGTTGTTATTATTGAGCCATGTAAATACGTTATCAATAGTGTTGTTAATATCTGTTTCGTAAGTATTTTTATTGTGTGAGTGAATCAGTAGTGTAGTGTCATCAGCATATAAGATGCATTTGTAGTTAAGTCTGGTAAGTCATTAATATAGACTAAAAATAACAATGGCCCGTGTATACTGCCTTGTGGTACTCCTTGTTCAATTAAGATGTAATCAGAGCAGTGTGATGTTTTGCGGTGTCCGGTTACGCTTGAAATTTCAACGCATCGATCAGAGAGGTAACTCTCTATCCATCTGAGGGTAGAGGTTTAATAATACTGCAGTATCACCTATCATCACCATATATGGGCAATTTTATTAAGAATACAGAAAGGTTTTAAATACAGTTTAAGAGGATACTTTAATTTCTGTTGGCTCGATAGTTAAGAGAGATAGTGGCGAGAAATAATGGACTTGTGGACTGTATAATAGGTAATATAATAATCAGACTGTTACAATAACGGTTATAAGGAAAATGAATATAAATTATGGATTCGAAAGCGCGAGCGCGGACGTGTGTCGTAGCGTCTAACAGCTGACTGGTGCGTGTCGGGGCAGTGCGGGGCCGCCCGGCGCGTCCCCTCCAGCGCGCAGCGGAAGCCATTGAATGCATGACTCAACAATTTCCATCATCTTACAAACGGAAAAATCAATTAAAATTAGTGTTTTCCCGTATTTAAGTGGAAAAATCGTTCAATGACTTCTTCCGCCTTGCGTTGCGAGAGGGAGACTCTTATTAGCCGGAGTATTGATAAAGAGCTAAGTCGTCTTGAGAGCAGCGAACGCTATTTAGCAATCATGCTTGCAACTAAATTGAACCTAGATGAATAATTATTTGTACAGAATACAAGAACCAGTCCAAAAATTTATTTAAACCTTAAACACTTTTTTTCTGAAGTCGGTCAATTAATATACTAAAACGTTCTCCTAAGTTTTACAAACACTTTTCTAAAAACCGCATCTTCTAAATCGAATCAAAATATTTTCAGCCAATCGCGAGATGATTGCACACAAACCTCCTTCTTTAAAATCGGGTAAATATTTTTGTATAATCAAATCAAAAAATCTAATCAAATCCAAAATCATTTATTTGCCGGAATAAGGTATAAAGTGGTCACATTATAATTATAGTCCTTATTCTGCCCACAATTCGGGCGTACAAAACTTTTACATGGAAGTCATAATAATTAAAACTATAAAGCAAGGTCATATTAAGTGAGAAAAAAATGTCATTAGAGGTACATGTCAAAATAAAAATTTCTGTATAAAAACGAGGTTGATTATTTCTCAAACATTAAAATTAAATTACCAAAAAATTACAATAATAATAATATTCAGCCGTCAATCGACAAAATAACAATAATAAAAGCAGTCCATTAGACCCTCACATTATGTTTGGCTCCTTTATAACTTACTAGCTTCTGCCCGCGACTTCGTACGCGTAATCCTATTTTTTCCCGTCCCCGTCCGTGATTTTCGGTAAAAAGTAAAAAAAAAATTGGTCAAAAAGTATCCTATGTCGGTCTCCTGGCTCTAAGCTACCTCCCTACCAATTTTCAGCCAAATCTATTCTGCCGTTCTTGAGTTATAAGTGGTGTAACTAACACGACTTTCTTTTATATATATAGATAATCTAGAAACTGTTGTACGCTATAAAAACAAAGATCAAGGAGATCCTTTTTTAGACAACTTTTAAATTTTGAAAATGGTTGTATATAAAAATTACCTTTGCGGTGCTTCATGACTATATGAGGATGTCCAATAATCGGTAATCCCCCTGGATATGTTGGAGGAGAACGAGAATAATTTTTCGTCCAGTACCATAATGAAAGCAAGACACCAATTATCACAGCTAGCACTACCACATACATTTTGGAACACAATTAAGTATGGACTACATGTAGTCTAATAGATTTCGAATATTTATAACAGTTGAAGGTTGGAGAGATCCGGTTATAGTTTTGAATAATTACAACAAAAACTCAAAAATTTTGAATTTTAAAAATAAATTATATTGTGGAAAATTTTACATGTATCTATACAGATAAATAAAATTGGAGTGTCTGTTTGTAATCTTAAAATAACCGCTTTTTACCACATGCATATGAAATATATATACGGTACACATACCATAATAACATGTTGTCCCATTTTTGTCTTTCTGTTTGTATTGGCTAATCTCTGGAATGGCTAGATTAATTTTGCAAGACTTTTATTGGCAAATAACTGATGTACTAAGGAGTAACATAGACTACTATTATTTTGGAAAATTAAAACAAAAAACAAGGTATGTTCTATAATTCATATTCTACGTGGATGAAGTCGCAGGCAACAGCTAGTATCTCACAAATAGGCTCATCTATTGAAGCTATTTCAATTATTCTTTTGTCTCAAAGTAACAGAACCTGTCTGCAAATATTGTTTATATGTTTTCATCGCATACACTGTGTAGGATTTAACTAGACATCGCGGGTTACTCACGTGAAAATATTGACAAAAGCTCTGCTGGTTTCGAACCAGAGAGAGGTTCTTCCTCATGAGCAGCGTGCGCGGTCGCGGCGATGTGTGTACAATTTTATATGTATTGTTAGACGACGAAAATCAACTAAATGAACGTCACTAGTTTAATCTATGTTATCGACAGCCCTAGCTGTCATATTGACGATGTCATCTGTCAAATGGGACAGATTAGAAAAGTTTCCCGCGAAAAGTGGAGTGACGCGCGAATCTGGTGGGAAGTTGGAAGAGCATTGCGCTGTGTTCTTATGAATCCGTTTATAATAAACTTTTCAGTATTTAAGTATTGAGTTTCACTTAAAAGTATGTATACAAAAACACATAATTTTTTGGTTATGCAAAGAAGTTATCAATAATATTGTTAATGGGTTTTCGATTCTACACACTGATAGCAGGGCGCTTACTTTTGAAATCCATCTCAATGTCAATGCTATTTCAATCCAATAAAATCTCAATAATTATTCAATGTCAAAACTGTACAATCCCCATCGTAGCTGTTAAAAGAGCATTCGGAGCACAGAATATAAAGCTAAACTCAATACCACCACTCTATACCAATGCCATTGCGTTGTGTTTCTTCGTGTGAGTGAGGTTATTGGAGGCCCAAT